TCAGGAGCTCAAAGATCTTGCAAGAACCGACCCCAACTTCCTTTCTAAGCTCCGTGTGACTTCTTCCTCTTCCCAAAGATGAAAATTGAGCTAAAGGGAAGGAGATTTGAGACGATAGAAGAGATTCAGGCAGAATCGCAGATGGTGCTTGACAGGCTGACAAAGAAAGATTTCCAGGGATGCTTCCAGGCTTGGCAGCGGCGCTGGGATCGTTGTGTTCACTCCCAGGGGAACTACTTCAAGGGTGACGGATGAATCTAATACCTGAGATAAGTGTACTGGTTTTTATAGGCGCAGTCTTGAAACTTTCCGATCGCACCTCGTATGCAAAATTGATTTCAATTATTAATTTAAATATCTCCACCTAGTCTGAACCCGGCGATACAGCAGAATTCTCCAAGGAGTGGTCTGATGTTGACGGCCTGTCCGGATAGGAGGTAGAATAATAACCACGTTGTGAATGGTATGCTGAGAAAACAAGTTGAGGTTGATAACTCTGAATCAACTTGATCAGTTCAATTTTAGCCGTACTTTTGCAGTAGTCTGGTATTATTTAGAAGTCATCCAGAAGCGACAACAAAAATAATTTATCAGAGTCGTGGTGTTCGCTTTCTTGTCTAGCTTGAAGACTTGATTTTAAAATATTAACCATTTCCCACAAAGTTTTTCTTATATTTTTATCACAATATTCCTTCATACCGCTGTTCCACAGTGCTGGTCGTTCTTCAATTTCCATAATGAACAACTCTGTGTTAAAAGATTTCTCGGACATCGCCATATGGAATACAGGCAACTCACATACAGCTCCGGCTCCCGCGTGCGACCTGCAGCGTCACTGAGTTCGCTCTGGTTGAAGTTCGTTACTTTTATAGCCGTGCGCTTTGTATTGCTTTTTATAGGTGCAAAATCCACTGGCGCGGCGCGACTGCCGAGTCGCGCGCGGTTAAGTTTAGGACACACGCGGCAGACAGGCGGCAGAGCTGTCGCGCGCGGCTATAAAAGTCAACTTGTTTTCTCATCACACCATTTACCACGTGGTTATTATTCTACCTCCTATCCGGACAGGCCGTCAACATCAGACCACTCCTTGGAGAATTCTGCTGTATCGCCGGGTTCAGACTAGGTGGAGATATTTAAATGAATAACTGAAATAAATTTTGCATACCTTAAAGTGACCATGAGTTTTTCTGGACTAGCCGCACGCGGCACGCAGCTTGTCGCGCCAGTGGGTCCCTAGCCTTAGCCTCTTATTTTCATCTTGCGATGACGGCGAGTGATCTAATATTTAGCCTTACAGTCTTGTAATTCTCTGCACATTTTATTCATTTGCCACATCCCGTCTGTAACATCAAAACACATTTCCTTGCCTGCATTTCGACTCTTCAACATTCATGACCGCTCACAGCAACACAGAACACGCTTCTGTGTTATAACCTACACCGTTTCCTTTTCACTGCCTTGTAAATACGCCGAAGCTGGACAAGAAATACTTACGAATTCAGTCCGTACCGCGAAGAAAACACAACTCTTCACCGTTACTTAGATAAACTGGTTAACGCTGTTTAAGGAAATAATCGCTGTTACCATTAACTTATTACGACTCCGAGGATTACCTTCTTGAACAGCGTTAGCCAACTGACCCTTGCAACGGTGAAGGGTTGTGTTTTCTTTGCGGTGCGGACTGAATTCTTAAATGTTACATAGACGAGATTCCCCTGTGAATCCTGCACTCCGGCTCTGCAGATCCTGAGCAGCTGACGACGGCGTTAAACAAACCACAAATAAATACACGAGTTAATCTGATGAAACTTGAAAGCAAGATCAAACATTTTCGTTCCTGCCCCGCGCCCTAATTAACAGTCTGGGTAGCAAAGCACTTGAGAGTCGGGGCACGCACAAATTGCTACCCGAACGGAATAGCAAACAGCTAACCCACACCCTCACATCTCTGACTTACTGCTAAGGATTACGCGTGTTCCATCCTTACTCCAGAATTTTTTTGGAAATTTTTACTTCCAGCATCTTCAGTTATGAATTCGTGAACCATCTGTTCCAACCACATTAACCTTTAAAGACTTCTTCGCTCAGGTTTAGTGCAGAAGCGACTTAAAGGTGATTTGTTTCTATTACTTATATACGAGCCAGAAAGTATTCAACTGTTGTTTACAACAGTACAACAATTCCGACTAAAACTATGACATAACAATTATTCTTTCCTTCATAAAGGAATTGTAACCGGGCAACCGACTTTAGTTTAGTTTTCTTAATTAATTTTGTAAATTAATCTTTACTCTTCATTAGGTTACGAGCCTTTTATATAAATTTATTAACATTTTTATTTCACATTCATTCCTAAAGGACATGTTTAGACCGGAAGTTGACATTTTAGGGAGATTAAATCAGCGAGGATCAAACTGAAAGGACATTGCTCGCCCCGAGTACAAATAAAATATACGTTTGCCAGGGAAACTTATGAGAAGAGACTACTTTGGAGGCCTTCTGTAGTTGGCAGAAAATATTTGAAAAAATAAAGGAACTTAAAACAGGCCGTGAGGGTGAGCTAGAATGCAATCGGCTCAGTCTACGTTCCAAGGACAGGCTTGTGTGCTAGTGGCGTCGAACCCAGACTCGTTTCGGAGAAGTCGTTAAAAGGGCACCAATGTTTTATGACGCATTTCCAGCCGTTCTGGTTCTGTGACCAGGGGCGTTAAACGGACACCGCTGCCCGAGGGAAGTTCTGAAAGAATGACCACTGGTCTACGAAGATCACGGCAGCACCAGACAGTCGTCATTCCTCAGTGACACCAGAAACACTTCAAAATGCGCAAAGCTACGACTATTAACCCTTTGAAGCCGAAGATCGTCTGAATATTATTTATGAATTCAGTCCGTACCGCGAAGAAACCACTCCACCTCACCATTACGAAAACCAGCTGGTTAACCCTTTGAAGCCGAAGCTCGTCTTCATAAT